CTACTTTTACTTTACTTGCATTGGAGTACCAATCTAAACGAATAGCGTATTACTTCATCACAAGAATATGAAGCCAGCCTTAAACTTTCCCATACTGGATCCCTCTCTTCCGCTGCCAAAACAGGTGCAATGACTTCTCCTATTGCCTATGCCGCAGAACATACATTGTAAATGCGAGGTCCCCCATGTGAGGGTGATGGTAGCTATTTGGCCCTCGAAACTACCGTGTTTCCCCGAAAATAAGACACTGTCTTATATATTTTTTGGCTCAGAAAAACGCACTAGGTCTAATTTTTTTAATGTACAACAATCCACACTTATTACCGGTAGAAGACTTACAAGACAGGAGTGAGTGGCAAAGTTAAGAATAGGGCAATCAGGGGTGCCGTACCTTTCCAAAAGCAATTTAGTAACCAATCGCTGGCCAGAATGAGCGAAGCGCGCTTTCACTATCGATTGCTCACAGGCGGAGTGCATTTGGTATCACTCCGCCTGTGACAGGAGCCGGCGCTATAGAGGAAGCATCGGCTTCGCGGCTCTGCTCCCTCCGCTGCCGCCTTGCTTCCTCTAGCGCTGGCTTCGTTGGCACTGCTGATTCTCTCCTGCGGCTCTTCAAGTTCCCCCTTATGCTACCACCGGCCCTGGGAATGGTCACAACTAGGTCTTATTTTCGGGGTAGGTCTTTTATTTTAGCAATTCCCAAAAATAATACTAGGTCTTATTTTCGGGGAAACAGGGTACTATGATGAAAGGAGCTTGTGAGTGATTCAACTGACCTACTTACTACGAACTAAAATATCAGCGTAAAGGTGCCAATACACTGGCCGAAGTTCAGGCGGTTTTTAATGTACCGGCCAAAATTTGCACTGTGTGTGGGGCTGCCGGCTCCCTTTCTTCGATTTTCTTTCCCGAAATCTTCCATGAATGGACTTTTGAACGATAATCGAACAGTTGATGGAAAACCAATGATTTATTTTACTGCAATCCCGCTCGAATTTTCTCGAGGGGTGAGACTGGAAAACTTTTTTCCAATCAAATGATAATTGATGGATTAGTGGCGTTTTCATATGAAAAAAATCGCAGCAAGAACAGTGCACATGAGCAAATGAAAATCTGTTCTGTCAATCAACAAAATTCGGTGAGTTAGTATTGCTAATGCACGATTATCGACATTGACATTGGTCTTTGCTTGATGAGGTATTTGGGCTAGAATCGATTGAGGGTTCTTGGCAGCAACAAACATTTCCGATTGAAAGTCTATAGGTGTATGGCCAGCTTAAGGCTGCACTAGGATGGTGTGGTGGGTCCCTTTAAGTAAATGTTTCCCTTCTGTTACATTCTGGGCACCAAGAGTATAAACAACTGTTTCCAGAGTCATCTTTAAACTGAGTTTATAGTGCAAATAGGCATAATTGTCCTTCTTAATGTTAAACAAACATGTATACAATGAAAGTTCTACACATATACCAAAGAACTGGATTCTGAATAGTAGACCGTCACGATGAGTATGTAGGTTGCCATTTATCACTGCCTAAAATGCTAATTGCCTGGCTGTCACATTGACAATTGCTGCCCTGGGACAAGTAGGCAGCAGGTGAAGATCTCCTAATGTGCATACTTGTTGTGGGTCAGTAACTCAGACAGTATTACATATTATAGGATCAGCATGCCAACCAGTCACAAAGCATTTTAAGGAGGTGTTTGGCAATAGCAGCCTGCAGGTTTCTCTCAGGACAGGTCACCTTTAAAGTACATCTATCAGGACAGAACTATGTAGGCTGCCATTATGAACCTCATCCAAGTGCTAGTTCCCTGGCTGCCATGTCAATGCTTTGGTTTGAAAGCTTCCTGAGTCGCTGGCCCAAAATTATGCATACCTATAAGGAATATAGACTCTTTTCTGACACAGCCAGGCAGCTAGCATTGTCAGAAGGAGACCAGCAGTGGCAGCCCCTGTACGTCAATCATGATGAGCGTATTTTAAGAAACCTGCGCTGTTCCAGCTATTACTTTAAGTTTCATAGAAACTGGCACACAGTAATTCCCAACACTACAAAGGAAAACCCAGAGCCATGAAAGCAGTTTCCTAGACCTCCTCAGAGTGCCATTATAACCAGGGATATAGCCATGTGACAACAGCTCAGTGACTTCCATTACAAGATGCCCCATTTAAAAGAATAACTCAATCTCCAGAGAAGCATTAATGAATTAGCAATGTAAAAGACAAGCACTGGCAAGGGACAGCTCCCAGCGTCCAGCAGCCAACGCTCCACGCTGATGAAGAAAAACAGATCTGCTACTACGGATGGGGCGACTGGCACTGCCGCGGCCTCTAAACTGGGACAGATCTGGGAAATATCAAAGCAGAAGGGTTGCTCAGAGCAAGCTGTCACACAGAAGAGGTGATCGCTTATACATGCTGGGATGTCAGTTTGCTATTGAGACCACAAAGGATATTGCTCTCTATACATTTATTTCCACCATAATCGTATCTTTCTCAACCATTTTCCTACAAGGCTGTAATAGCGCCATTCTTTTGCAGCTGTTCTTCGTGTTACATAATACAATCTCACCATACAATCAACTCTAGATTTACCAAAACTATGGAATATGAGAATCCTCCTAATCTATCCAAGCAATCTTGTGCAGACCGTGACGTATGTGCGAGTTTACGGCTGTGGTACATCATCATTTGGATCAATGAAAACTGCAGCAGTTGAATGGAGAATGGGATTCAATGTGGATAAAACTTACTGGTGACCACACAAAGTAGATTGTCACCAATACCTGGAGTTGCACTTTAAATAACTAATTGATACCCCAAAGGATATTGCTCCCAATAGAAATATTGGTGTCCTATTAAGCTGTGGAACCAAAAAGGAGACCCCACTTGGGCTCTAAAAAACAGTTTTTGCACCTGAGAGAAAGAAAAGAAGAAAGTGAAACTTCAGAAACTATCTTTATTTACATTGGTCCAGTTTGGCTCAATGTAAGTATCTGATCTCTGAAGGGCCACTGGGGATGCCAAAAATCACTGTGTTAAGGTTCCCATACACCTAACGACCATCGCAAGACTTTTGTCTTGCGATGGTCGTAAGCTTATTAAAAGCTTGTACGATCTGTCCATCTTGGACAGGCAGATCCTACTTGCGATCATCGAAAGCCCGCCCCGCTGAGGGCTGGGGAAAAGGATTGGTACAAGGCGGGGGAGAAGGATTGGTACAAGGCGGGGGAGAAGGATTGGTACAAGGCGGGGGAGAAGGATTGGTACAAGGCGGGGGAGAAGCACAAAACAGTATCTTATATTGTCACAGAGGTACTTATGTAATATATGTGATCCTTCTTTACGTTAGCTGGATGTTTGAGACTTGAATACTACCCTGTATCTGCAATAAAATGTTGTATATCTGATGACTAGGAGGACAGAATGATATAATTATGGCCATTCAACAATACACAGTAGAGGAAGCCATTTTGTCTGCTGACTCAATATTCTTGACAATGCAAGACACAACATCGCTGTGGTGTCATTGGTTCCACCAATGTTAGCTGCATTTTACAACACGGCTTGTCTGGTTCATATATTACATGAGTGGAAAAATGTTTTCTTTTTCATCATCTTTTACCTGTATTCCCTGTATGTGAATCTGAAAAGAGGATGAGGGTGAGATAGCAGTACTAAAGCGGTGTGGAAGGTAATCTCTGAGTCTGGGGTCTACTGTGATGCTCAGCAGAAAGTCAGGAAAAAATTGGACCGAGATTCCAACTCGCATGGCAATGGGAAAGCTATTTCAAACTTTTCTGGATCTGAGAGTTAGAATCCAGTGTGTTGCTGAGCTATGGGCAGATGTAGCAGCTAGAAAATTATTTGAATAGCAATTAGGGAAAGTCTTCTTTCTTTAGTAAAACAAGTACAGAAATATAAAAAATGAAAAAAGTGGACTACAAGGTCCATTGTTTCCATGTTTTACACATACTAAGCCAAAACTGGGAGACCAGAGTTTGGAGAAGGCATGGCATGGTCCAATGGGAGCTATTTTTTTCTTTAAGAGGCCAGCCTCCTAATACACAGAGTTTGTACCCCCCAAAGATTGAGCAGAGAAGCCACTCTCACTAGGAAGGGGGAATATTATGTCAACATAAAGAAGTAACCTGAACAGCAAATGTGAAAAGGCAGTCAAAAGATAAGAGAGTAAAAGAAATTGGTAACAATGGGAGGGGAAGTATGATGTAGATTTAGGGGAGTGGCCTGAACAGCTAACATTAAAAAATCAGGGCAGAATCATAAGACAAGACATTCACAATCCCCGGTTTTGTGCTTATATTACATAATTAACAAAATGATTGGAAGCAGCAGAGATAAGGCTGGGCTTGGTTCGAACCCAGTTCGCCTGAGTTTGCCCAAGCCCGTTCAAAACGTTGACCGCCACCCGCTCCTTGCAATCCAATCAGTGTTGGCAGTGGTAGTGGGGGCATTCCACACCGCTTTGTGACGTATAGCTGCAGCACAGGAACTGTGTGTCCCCGCAACTGTCTGGGTTGGGAGGAGATGGTGGAAGGCAGAGTTCTGAGTAGAGTTGGGCGAACTCAAGCAAATTGGGTTTGCATCAAGCCCGGCCTCATCACTAGTAAGCAGTATGCACCCGGCAATTCAGAATAAAAATGTAGAGGCTAGTTAAGGCTCCTTTAAGAACATCATTATGTCAACAATATACATCTGGAGTACAGAGGCATTTAGCACAATGACCAAATACACAAAATAGTTTCATTCTGTGTACCTTTTAATATTAACACAGTATCAATGGTCTCAGTGGTTTAATCAGTCACGATAGAAACCATACATTCCCAGGAATGTATGTTCTTTGTTTATTTTCTTCGCATTACCCCAAAGATATGGCTGAATATTAACAAGAATCTGTCATCAATCTAAATACATTTGTAGACTGAGATGCCACTATATGACTTCTCAGGCTGCAGGCTGGTTCCTTTACAGTTCCTTCACTGGTCGTGAACAAGACCACAGACTGGAAGTCGAACAATGGCAGTCTTGATGGCGTATTCCCTTTAACAACCTCTAGAAAAGCAAAAATTCAGTCACACCCAAAATATAAATAACCCCCAACGGCTCAGCTTATCAAACCATTCAGCAGTTCTGCAGACATTCTGTAAAATCAACAGAAGTAAAAATGTACAATAATCTCAAGATTTGCGATTTAAAAAAAAAAAAAAAGTTCTTGTAAACATCCGGAGATCATAATTCCACGTGTGGCTTGTGATCTGCAAGAATAAAATATAGAGGAAAGATGTAATTGACATATGAAGAGTACAGTCACCAGACATTGTCATCTGGAACACAGCTTAACAAATATACAAAGACTTGTGAATATGTCTCAGGCTTAGCTGTGCCGAAACTCTGGGCCATATGCTAAATTATCTTTGTGTGGCAGGTTTATCATTAGATGGCACTCAAGCAGATTTACACCTGACAGGTACAATTACGTGGAAGTGCCATTAGCAAGCTGTCAGAACTCCATCCTTGTTAATCAAGCTCAATGCCTATAATGAGCTGCTTCTTCTGAAGCAAACTTTACCTGTCTGGCTGTTTATCCTTGACAAGTGTATTCCGATGTCTGAAAATATGTACCAGTGATGTTGTATTCACTTTATATTTTAATCTCTTATTTCTTGGAGCCTGGGCAGTGTGCAGCAAACACTGATGTGAATGTACACTATAAGCTTCTTGGACTGAGCAAGGTTACTCGAGATCCTTTCATGCCAGGGATGGAATTACTTTTCTTCATTGACAGTCATAGATTTTAAGTCCTTTGCTGAACTAAGGATTTCTACATCTTCTCAATGTGGAAGTCAGTGGAAAACTCTCCATATCAGCCGCACAACCAGTGTAGTTCACAGGTGTCAGGATTTAGAAAAATGAGGCTGATACTATATGAAGCACATATGACAGCACTTACAAAACAGATGTGTGATCCAGGCCTGCAGCCTTTCATCGCTACACTGCAGAGCTCTGCTCTTTATACAGTAATCCGAATTGGACAATCTTGATGCCGCCTTGGAGGCTGTACCCAGACCCCGCAGGACTATAGATTGTGGGGTCTGCCTGTAATGGGACTCTCAGGCACTGGGCTCTATTCTGTTTTGCTCACTGTTAAGCTGCACCATTGTTTTTTTTCTTCTTCTGTTGGTTTCCACAGAAAGTGTTAAGGTGCTGGAGAAATAAGTGATCCATCAATACCTGGAGAGTAATTTACACGCAAGCACTACACTATCCATTCGCGCTTTCAGCATGAAGTAGTTCTTCCTGCCATTGCTCTATTTGCAAGGAACACGCAGTTATTGAATCGCTTTTCAAATTACATCCCGTCTCTCTTATAAATATATAAGTGATGCACCGATACCATTTTTTCCAGACCAAGTACTGATACTTGTCCAAGTACTGATACATTGTTGTTTATTGTCATGTGACAGTCTTTCTAAACGATGCAGACTAATGATTTCAGGACAGTGGTGGAGCACCTGGGTCCAGTTGCAGCTGCAACCTCTGCAACCCTGGGAGTTCTCGTGAAAATGCCAAGTATCCGCACTGGTATCTGAACATCCCTAGGTTTAGGTGAAGCCCAGAGGGTTATGCCAGTCTATGGCCTCTTGAATGTCTTGGACACTCCCAACAGTCATATCTCCCAGCCAATAATCCTGACCCTGTTCCTTTCCACCCAACAGTTGTTGGTGTTCCTGCCCACCTTGGTGTTCCGGCTCCTAATGTCAGATTATTCATAATATAAAATAAATAAAAATTCCAATGTGCAGAGTTGGAAAGCCACAGTAGATGTAACAAAGAATTTCAGAGACATAGAATCACTGACAAAAGTGGTTACATGTAAGACTGGGACCAGCATGTGTGTATAAATAAATGTTTATTGATACAAAATAGTAGAAAAACACCATCAAAAAGCTTCTTTTCATTAAGATAACAACATTGTCTGTAGCTATCTTTCACGCCCTCATTCAAACAGAAGGGCCCCACACAAACAATGAGCAACTATTTTGAAAAATGGGACTTCAAATGGGATGGATGCAATTGGATAACGTAGTCTACATGACGGAGATAAGAAAAAAAACGTCCTTTTGAAAAAAGAGATCTCTTCTTACCATAGAGGTAGATATAGAGTCTCATATATTTCGACAGAAAATGTCACACGACCCTTGATAGTTAATCACGGTTATCCATAATATGGGAATAAACTTGCCAAATACTCTGGTCTGGTCACTTTTTTTATTCCGATGGATTAAGGTAATTGCGAGGTTAACGGAGAGGCAGGGTCCATATGTGGGGCCCATCTGCTTGAATGAGGGAGTGAAAGATAGCTACAGACAATGTTGTTATTTTAATGAAAAGAAGCTTTTTGATGGTGTTTTTCTATTATTTTGTATCGATAAACATTTATTTATACACACATGCTGGTCCCGGTCTTACATGTAACCACTTTTGTCAGTGATTCTATGTCTCTGAAATTCTTTGTTACAATTATTGCTCTGGTATATCTCACTAATCGGGTCCCCGAGAGTTATAAGAACCCATAAGGTGCTATAACTATTTACAACGGTAGAACAAGAAGCAGAAAACTAGCAATTTCAGAAGCAGGCCAAGACTGGTAATTATGAATTTTTCTCCCTTGCTATAAACTTGGTACAATTTATACTACAGGAAGAGAAATGGATCTTCATGTTGTCTGTGACAACATGCAACTCTCTTTTAAGGTCAGTGTTACAATTATTTAAAGCAAAACTCCAGGCAGAATTTTTCTTAACCCTTAAGGTGCCCATACACCTTACGATTATCGTACGATAATCGTATGCGATCGACTTTTCGTACGACAATCGTAACGTGTGAATAGAGTGCCCGACCGATAGTACTGTACAATCGTACGACTTTTGGCGGTCAAGCATGTTTGAAAACTTTGCTAGATCGTACGATTTTCGTAAGGTTGCTGGCGTTTCCGTCCGTCAAAAGTCGTACGATCTACACTGCGCTTGCGCTAACGAAAATACGGCAAATCATTTACCGCATATCGTCCAGGTGCTTTTAGTTAATTACGGCTAAATTAATCTTGCGATCATCGGGGCAGGATGGGGCCGTCGTACGAAAATCGTACGACGGTTCGATCATCGGACGAAAAGTTTCGTCCGATAATCGTAAGGTGTATGGGCACCTTTACAGTGGGGTTAAGTGCTCGTTTCTTTCTAGGTGCTGAAAAAAGTTATACGCTCCCAAACTGTGGAGACGGCCAGCTGCTACTCTGGTCCCTGAAGCCTCTCTCCTCTTCCTTCACTGCAGCGATGGTATGTCCCTTGGCATCCTCACATCCTATACAATGTGTAGAACATGATGACTTAAGGATCCTTAGACCACCACAGCAGAGGGGGAGTGAGGCTCCAGGGACTGGTCTAAGAGCAAGCTGGCTCCGAGGATCAGATGCGTATCTGTCAGAAGAAAAGACAACTTACCCTGTGTATCTGGTTTTCTAACATTATCAGAGTGATCGAATGTTGTTCCTAAAGTCTCTTCGAGAAAACGATTGTACAGTCTCTTGATTTCCTGATCATAATCTTGCCACTCTGGAACAATACGCACAGCTGCTTCCAGCTTGGGCTCTTTGGTCTTTGGGTTGTTGCACTGTAAAAAGAGAATGAAATCTATTACTTTATGGGGAAATGGATGCAGCTGACTGTTAAATACTACGGACTGTGAAAGAATATTTATATTATTTTATATGTTAAAAGTTGTACAGCAAAGCAAGATGATTCCTCAGGAGTGTAAGAATAGCATCTTGTATTCATAGGGTAAAAATGCTCCATTTCTCCTGATCTACACCTAGTAACCTCTTACCAAGTCTATAGTCTTGGCTTTCTTCTTGGAAGTCTCATCACACCACGTCTCACACCAAAGCCACTCCTGAGGAAGTGACTTAATAGGCACTTGGTGGATCATATTATTGGGCAAATCCTAAAGAAAGAAGACAAAATTACAAACAATGATGATGACCATTAGAAGAAGAATGTCTGATACAATCAGGATATTGTCTTATAATGAGGAGCAGTTCAAAATCACCAACTACAATCAAGGGTCACTTTTGGGATTACATTAAAGGTGAACTCCAGGACACTATAAAAAACGCAAGTTAATGCAGCAGCTCTGTAATCATTAATATATCACTAAATCTAATTTCAAGGCATGTAAGTAAATTGATTTGACCTGGAATCAGCCTTGTGCAATCCCCTGTACATCAGAGCTTAG